TGAGAAATGGTAGGCGGTGGCGGGAGGGAAGAAAGGAGCAAAAGACTAAAATAGTAGGCCACCGTGCCGTATGACAGTTTGTCTCCGTCTTGGGGGCCAATTAGGAAGTTGATCCATGGATTTCTGGCTTTTTGCCCACTGTAGTTTTAACTTGACCCACAAATGCAAACAAACATCCTAATGACTTGACCTCTTTGGTCATTTCCTTCCAAGAAAGCTGTGATGTTCTGTCACTTCTCTGCATTCGGACTAGCTGTAAATCCTCTCCCACATCCTTTGGATGAAGAATTGCTGGACGACCTGAGCCAGCTTATTTCTGTCTTGGGCTGCAGCACGGCACATAGTCCGTAATGAGACGTATACCCAATCCTATGTGACATAAAGACGATCTACTCAGTTCCAGAATCCTTTGTTTAAAATACAGGTGGTTAGAGCAAAGATTTAATTGGAAGGAGTAAGTCATAGGAGGGGAACTCCTTTCTCCAGATCTGTACTCAGAATTGCTGTTCAAATCAAATGTTCAAACATCTTGATGCAGGCTGTGTTAGGTGTCCCTTCCCAGTGGTCTCATCATACTCTGTACACATGCCTCTAACTCGATTTTCTAATTACCTGCTAATATGCCTTTCTCTTTTTCCGTTTTTTTTCTTTTGAGATGGAGTTTTGTGCTGTTTCTGTTGCCCAGGCTGGAATGCAGTGGTGCAATCTCAGCTCACTGCAACCTCCGCCTCGCGGGTTCAATTGATTATCGTGGCTCAGCCTCCTGAATAGCTGGGACTACAGGCGCATGCCACCATGCCCGGCTAATTTTTGTATTTTTAGTAGAGACAAGATTTCTCTGTGTTGGCCAGCTGGTCTCAAACTCCTGACCTCAGGTGATCCACCCGCCTCCGCCTCCCAAAATGCTGGGATTACAGGTGTGAGCCACCGCGTCCGGCCTAATATGCCTTATTCTTGGCCCCCATCCCATGCACTAATCTTAAACCATGGACTCTGGGAAGAAGACTGACTGTCTATCATTCTACCCGGCACATTGTCGGTGCTGGAGTAAATATTTGAATGAATATAGATACAGGAATTTCAAAAAGAGAAATAAGATTACCAAATAATTTTCAATCCTGGTAGAACCTTTAAAACCTCTGCTTCAATTGGCTTTGTCACCAGCAACATTTTAGCACTAAAATGCAGATTTTAATAGTAAATGCCGTTCAGATTCAGGTTGTAACAGTTAAGTCAGTAAACTTTCGTTTCTCAAACTAGGTCACTGCTTGAGTTTTAAAAATAAACTGGAATTGAGTGGTCTGTTTTTATGGACCTTCTTAGTGGTATTCTCCACCACCCCGCATCCTCTTAGCTGCCTTGTTAGTCGTAAGCACACCCTGTTCACTCCGCATGAGTACGCTGAGTCTCTGTGACGTGCACACAGGCACTGCAACAGGAGCATGTGGGTTAGATGAAGAGCAAGGCATGTAAATAACGGATTATAATATAGTAAGAGCTACCATGGAAGACTGTGCAGTGTGAAATGTGAATCTGAGGTAAGGCTGTTAGAGAAAGTCACGTTTGAGCCTAGTCTTAAAGCATGAGGAAAGGAGATAAACATTACAAGGAAGGGAAACAGCATATGGAAAAACCCAGAAGCAGGTACGGAAATGGGAAGTGTGTGTAAGGGGGAGTGCTGGAAGATGAGGCCCAGGGAAGAAGGCCGACCTGAGTGGATGCCTGCGAAGGCGTTTGGAATTCAATGTGCAGGCCAAAGGGGGAAGTCACTGAAACATTTTAGACCGAGGAAGGACATGCTGTCTCTGTTTGCTGTCCATGTCTTCTTCCCTTTAGAGATTGTTTTTTCTTGTTTTTCCCTATCATCACTACTGCTTTCTCTGCTAATGCTTTGTACCTGCTTCCCTGCCAAGATAATTTATTTATTTGATTACAGTAAAATGGTCTTGGCCGGGTGTGGTGGCTCAGGCCGATAATCCCAGCACTTTGGGAGGCTAGATGGGTGGATTGCCTAAGGTCGGTAGTTTGAGACCAGCCTGGCCAACATGGTAAAACCTCGTCTCTACTAAAAATACAAAAATTAGCCAGGTGTGGTGGCACATGCCTGTAATCCTAGGTACTGGGGAGGCTGAGGCAGGAGAATCCCTGGAACCCAGGAGGCAGAGGTTGCAATGAGCTGAGATCGTACCACTGCACTCCCCCCTGGGCAATAACAGCAAAACGCTGTCTCAAAAAAAAGAAAAAGGTCTTAGATTGCAGTTTAGAATATCCTACAAATCAGGAAGTTTGTGTGTCCCCTACCCCCTAGTCACAGTAGATTGTGACCGTGATTGCATTTTGTTGCTTGAAAAATTGACAGACCAGGATTATCTCATTCCATTTTTACTGTTACACGGAAAAAAGAATGACAGCTTCTTGTATAAAAATAATTCCTTATATTCTACCAGTTTACCAGAATGAGCGTGAACATGAGAGCAACTGAATTTGTACTCTTAATACGTTCTCAGTATTCTGTGTTTAACCCTTTTTAGGCTTTTCATTTTCTGGGCCTAGATTATAAATGGGCCCTCGAGACTTGAAGTCAGGAGAGGTCTTCTCTGTGGGGCTACCACAGTGCTCCTGGAGGTGGCTTTTTGCTTTTGACCCTGTGCATCCACAGTGTGTGGCTGGTTGTGCGGCACCGTCTTAGCCCGTCTCACAATAAAACATTCTTTGGAATTTTACAAAGATGTCATTCTTGGCACCTAAACAGAGAATCATTTGTTTCCAACCGATCATTTTCCATTTGTAAACCCTGCTCAATTAGAAAATCGTTTATGAATAGTGTCCTGTTTTTTAAATGTAATTTGAAAAACTGCTGTTGCCGGTGGCAGACTTGCATTTTATATTACCTGGATGTTTCAAGCCTTTATGCTTACTCATTCACACGGGTCTGCTAGTGAAGCCAACCGCAGGTGTGGGAGGCAGGCAAGCCTCAGGGGAACCCAGGGCTCCTTTGGTCCATTGCTGCCACCTGCTGGGGCCGGCTGATGGAATGGGAAGGCTGCCCAACAGCGAGCTAAGCCATCCTGAATGAACCTCAACCTCTGTGTAGTTCCAGTACTAGCCAGCTTTTGTGTTTCTAGGTGACAGTCTACCCCCGACTTCCAGTACTTTCTAGGTGACAGTCTACCCCTGACTTCCAGTACTTTCTAGGTGACAGTCTACCCCTGACTTCCAGTACTTTCTAGGTGACAGTCTACCCCTGACTTCCAGTACTTTCTAGGTGACAGTCTACCCCTGACCAAAAGGACACTGTGAACTCTAGAGCGTTATGTCAGTCACTGTAAAGTGGTGTCACATTATGTTGGTGACACCTCATCTCCAGCAGTGATGAGGCCCTGAGAATGAAAACACACTAAGGACTCAAAGATCCTAGAGTTTCAGAGCTGGAAGAACCGTAAACCAGATGCAGTATGTAGTCACATGAGTCACCTAGGCACTTGTTAAAATGCAGGTTCCTGGGCCTAGCCCCAAAGACTTTGATTCGGTAGACCCAACATGTGTCTTATTTAACTGGCTTCCCACAAGGTTCTGATACAGGTCGTCTAGCATCACTGCAGAAGAGAAGAAAACTCCTGAGATATCCAGGCAAGAGCTTCTCAGCCGTTGTTCTTATTAATGCCTCGTTTCAATCAATAAGAAAAGTTATCTTTCATCAATGGGATGAGTCATCACCATACTGCAGCTGGTTCTTTGAAGCAGACGCACACAAAATAATTAACTTTCCTTCCTTCTCTAAGAAGGAAATCTGTACTTTGTATTGGGCAGCTTATTGTGGAATGCTTTTTGGCCTTGAGCATTGGCAAGCAAAGGTGGAGTTTCATATTACACTTAGCCATTATTTCCATGACTGCATTAATCATTTAGTAAATGTTTGTTGAATTTTTAGGGACCTAAAACACCATCATACAGATTCTTTTCTTTGTAGAAGTAAAACACAAAGCTGCATCCCCGATAGTTTTTGAAGATGTCTTACTATCCCTTCTTTGTTGTCGTTGTTGAAATAGAGTTTGGTTCTTGTTGCCCAGGCTGGAGTGCAGTCTGGCTGACTGCACCCTCTGCATCCTGGATTCAAGCGATTCTCCTGCCTCAGCCTCCCTAGTAGTGGAGACAGGGTTTCACCATGTTGGCCAGGCTGGTCTCAAACTCCTGACCTCAGGTGATCCGCCCACCTCGGCCTCCCAAAGTGCTGGGATCACAGGCATGAGCCACCGTGCCCAACCTGATTATCACTTCTTGTTCCCTTCTCTGTGTGGCAAGCTTGGCTAAAGTACAAATAGCAGTAAATACAAATGACAAAAAATAAGTGGCCTAATAACAAATTTGAGAACTCACCTTAGAACTGAGGTTTCTGAATACCTGTCGTATGCCTGCTTGATAGAATATTCTCAGAAATGTTAGTCATTTTTTATGTATGCTGTTGCTCCCTGAAACTGCTGGTTTCAATCTGACTGTAAACTGAGTCCTTGAGGCTGCTGAGCTCAACGGCAGATTACACTTGGTGTACTGTGTCACACTGAGTGAGGACCAGTAATATTTTCATGTGTTTCAGCTAATGTTTTTTGTGTTTGTTTTAGCTTTTAAGTCATTGGCATTCAGGACTTTTATCCCCTTTAATGCAAATGATTATATAGTTAGTGCAGTGATCATATCACACATGTGGAATCAAAAGGCAGTTTACTTATAGATCAATCTTGCTGAGCTTTTAGGAGCATTTTTTTTTTTGAGATAGAGTCTCGCTCTGTCTCCAGGCACCAGGCTGCAGTGCAGTGGCGCGATCTCGGCTCACTGCAACCTCCGCCTCCCAGATTCAAGCAGTTCTCCTGCCTCAGCCTCCCGAGTAGCTGGGAGCATAGTTTTTATGACTTGCATACGTGCTTTGGCATAGCATCTTATTTTAAGTTTTGTTTGCTGCCTTTATAATCTCATTTATTAGGGTTTTTTTGTTTCTGCTTTAGGTGTACCTGAAGGAAATCTTAAAAGAAATTGGAGTTCAGAATGTAAAAGGGATCCACAAAAACACGTGGGAGCTGAAGCCAGAGTACAGACACTATCAAGGAGAAGAAAAGAGTGACTGAGGTGCCTCCCGGCCTGCATGCCAGTGAGACCACTAGCAGTATGCTGAGCAAAAGGCGCTCGAACACCGTATGTTAACAGGGGTGAAGCGACGACCCTACTTTCATTTCTCTCAGTAAATTTTTTAAACCTGTAATTCTTGTAAAGTTTCTTAACTGGTTTCTTTTATTTTGTTTTGTTTTGAGAAGAAAGAACAAATTTATTTATAGACTTCACTTGTATTAAACCAGATTATTCACAATGGGAATAGGGGTTAGAGGATTAAGAGGGTTTTTCTTAAGTATTAGCTTTTAAACATGTACAGTTAGGAAATGTTTTTTAAATGAGGGCTCTCTAACCTTCCTGTTATCTTTGAGGAGCTGAGGTAATACAGATCCAAGGAGGATTGTATAGCAAAAAAGAAAAAGGCAGTCAGCTGTAGAAACTCATAGAAGGAATAAAAAGCCAAAGTTCCTTACTTAAAAATTGTCAAAGAACGACGCGGTGTTTTTCTTGTAAACAGGTGGTCGTGTTTCGTGTTCGTACTCAGTGTTAATAAAAGGAGAGCATGTAAGCTTGGAGTGAAATGGCAGTTTTCATGATTAGCCTGTTTTACCGTAGTGATACTGAAATGAGAAATATGCAGAATCGTGGTCAGTTGATGTTTCTTTTATTTGCTTTTAAGAAAATTAGAAATTAGGCTGGCTCATGCCTGTAATCCCAGCACTTTGGGAGGCCGAGGAGGGCAGATCACCTGAGGTCAGGAGTTTGAGACCAGCCTGGCTAGCATGGTGAAACCCCATCCCTGCTAAAAATACAAAAACCAGCCAAGTATAGTGGTGGGCTCCTGTAATCCCAGTTACTCAGGAGGCTGAGGCAGTAGGATCACTTGAATCTGGGAGGCAGAGGTTGCAGTGAGCCAAGATTACGCCATTGCACTCCAGCCGGGGTGACAGAGTGAGAGTCCATTTCAAAAAAAAAAAAAGAAAATTAGAAATTAAATATCTTTCCATAGTTTCAAGATATGTCTACCCCAGTCAGATTATAAGCTTCTCAAAACTGGTTTGCCCCCAGAATTTCACTACTCACCCAGCAGACATGTATTGACCATCACATGGCAAATGATATCAGCAGATAAGAGGGGCACAGGGGTATAGCTGAGACAGAAAAGGCTGGTTCCAATTCCTGGGTCATTTAATTGTTTCTTTTTTCTTTAATTAATTTTTAAATGAAAACAATACGTGTATATGTTAGAAGTTTTTTCTAGCACAACACATTATGTATTAGGCAATCCAAACTCATACCATCAAGACCACTAGACAAAAAAAGAAGCTTTAGTAAACTAAGCACAGGGAAAAGCTGTTTTTTTGTCAGCTGCTTCTGGATGCTTCCAACCAAGAGGTAGCAAGTGCCCAAGTTGCCATAGTGTTTGCAGGGGGAAAAAATGAGGGAAAAACAATCAAAATAAGTAGCAAGTGCTAAAAATTGAAGAAAATGTTACATAATTAAAACAAAGCAAGGAAATACCTATCCATTAAGAAAAACAACTTTTATATGATTTGCTTTTAGCAGCAAAACATTAGAATTCTGAGATTGTTAACAGCACTTATGTACATGCTGTAAAGTAAAATTCTGAGTAAGGAGGGTGTTCTCATTCCCATCCCACCCCAACCTGTCTTATGTATAGGAACCAAATGTGGTCTGCCCGTCACCTTCTGGTTCCTGATGACTGGAACCTCAGGGTCAGGAAGCCCGTGGATAAGGGTCTGATGAATCTATATGCAACTGAGAATTCTGGGTACCTGCCACGTGTTTGTTCGCAGCATGTGTCTTTCCCCAAACCTTGTTTTTCATATATGTGGTACTGCCCTGAAACAGACTTGTGTCTCCTTTGCTGAGGTCTTTTGTTTTTGTGACAGTGCCTGCCAGATTGAATGAGATGGCTGTGCCAGAAGAGACTCCAGGGCAGAGCTGTATCTTACTTGAAGCTTGGCTTTTTGTAACTGGTTTATTTAGCTTCTTTCAGACACCTGATTGCATCAGCCTGGGTCTCTTAACGCTTGTCTCTTCAGTAGGGTAAGTAATCTAGGTGCTAGACTGGTACTGTTTCTGATTTGTTTTTAATTGCCTTTTTTTTTTCCTTTGAGACAGAGTCTCTCTTTGTTGCCCAGGCTGGAGTGCAGTGGCATGATCTCAGCTCACTGCCACCTCCACCTCCCAGGTTCAGGTGATTCTCCTGTCTCAGACTCCCAAGCAGCTGGGATTATAGGTGCACACGACCACACTCAGCTAATTTTTGTATTTTTAGTAGAGACGGGGTTTCACCATGTTGGCCAGACTGGTCTCGAACTCCTGACCTTAAGTGATCCACCTGCCTCAGCCTCCCAAAGTGCTGAGATTACAGTTGTGAGCCACCACACCTGGCCTAAATTGCTTTCTTATTTAATATTAAAATATGGCTGCTGGCCATGAAGGAGATTTTTCCCTTCCACCCAGGTTCCCTTATTCTTCTATTTCAGGGCTGTTACTCTAACAAACAGCCTTTTGACAAAGATCAAAAAGTAGGTATCCTAAACCCTTATAAACTATGAGAGTGAGAGGAAGACAGATAAAGGAGACGAACACCTCTGGAAAGATGTCACATCATAAGAAGACAGAAGGCCATATTTAATACTCAGGGGATGCTTTAACTGACAGAATGTAATAAGATTATAGTTGCTGGGCAGGCAGATCACCTGAGGTCAGGAGTTCAAGACCGGCCTGGCCAACATGGTGAAACCCCATCTCTACTAAAAATATAAAAATCAGCTAGGCATGGTGGTGCGTGCCTGTAATCCTAGCTACTCAGGAGGCTGAGGCAGTAGAATCACTTGAATCTGGGAGGTGGAGGTTGCAATGAGCCGAGATGGCACTACTGCACTCCAGCCTGGGTGACAGAGCAAAACTCCATCTCAAATAAATAATAAAAATGATAGATCTTGGCCGGGCGTGGTGGCTGACGCCTATAATCCAAGCACGCGGATCACCTGAGGTCGGTGACCAGCCTGACCAACATGGTGAAACCCTGTCTTTAAAAAAAAAAAAGAAAAGAAAAGATAGATCTTTAAAAAGAGAACAGATTTCGCTCTTTTGTATCTTGGGCAACTCCTACGGATTTTTGCACAAGTGCAGCTGTTTCTAATGGTCTGCGAGCAAATTGTTTTGGAAGCTTCTTTTCATCATTGTTGGTACGTATCAGTGAAATAACAGTAAACACTTACCAAGCTCTATGAGCCTAACAGTATGCTAAGTGTGTAAAATAATATTTAATCCTCCCAAACAGTGCTGAGTGGTGAGCAGTGTCCATTTTATGGAACCATTTCCTGCCTAGCATACCATCGTGAGTACTGGTCCTTCTTTGGAGGAATTGTAGCCGTGGCCAAACTCAGAGTGTACCTTCACAGAGTTCTTCTCTCCTGACCCCATCTCACCTCCGAACCAAGAAAATGGAGCTGACCCCAGCAAAGCTGTGAAGGAATGGGAGTTGTCTTTGGCACCCCTCCTTGAATCCTGACACCCAGACTCCTCCTATGCACGGGATGAAGACTAAACTTCCACCTTTAAAGTCAAGATCCTTTTGCTAAAAATGTGATCCCTGTGACACTTAAGTACGTTGTAGAGAGTGGACGGTATGATTGAGGCTCCCAGGGCAGTGTGTCGGGAAGGGGAGCTGCCCAGACATGCTTGCTGCAGACAACCTTTCTTACCACACACCATTTTCCCCAGCATTTGTGAGAGAGTCCAGAGATGATAAGCTGGCTCTCTTTTATTGTTTGATCTCTCTCCCTTTTTATTTTTTTATTTTCTGAGACCGCCTTTTGCTCTTGTCACCCAGGCTAGAGTGCAGGGATGCAATCTCGGCTCACTGCAGCCTCCATCTCCTGAGTTCAAGCAATTCTCCTGCCTTGGCCTCCCAAATAGCTGGAATTACAGGTGCCCACCACCACACCCGACTAATTTTTGTCTGTTTAGAAGAGACAGCGTTTCACCATGTTGGCTGAACTCCTAACCTCGGCTGATCTGCCTGCCTCAGCCTCCCACAGTGCCGGGATTATAGGCATGAGCCCGTGATCATTTCTCTGACATAAGTCCAGAGAAAGTTCCTGAGCCTAATATCATTTTCTTTTTAAAGAGATGGCGTCTTGCTGTGTCATGCAGGCTGGAGCACAGTGGCACAATCCTGTCTCACTGCAGCCTCAAAGCATCCTATCATCTCAGCCTCCCGGGTGGTTGGGACTACAGGCATGCACTGCCATCCCTGGCTACTTTTGTTAAAACGTTGTTTATAGAGATGGGGTCTCACTATGTTAGCCAGGTTGGTCTCGAACTCCTGGGCTCAACCGATTCTCCCACCAGAGCATGGGATTATTATCCTCCCAGAGTGCTACGATTACAGGCATGAGCCACCATACCCAGCCTAATGTTATGTTTATGATGTGTAAGAGGGAGAACAAGAGGTCACTTTTTTTTTTTGAGAGGGAGTCTTGCCCTGTTGCCCAGGATGGAGTGCAGTGGCATGATCTCGGCTCACTGCAACCTCCACCTCCCGGGTTCAAGCAGTTCTCCTGCCTCAGCTTCCTGAGTAGCTGGGATTACAGGCATGTGCTACCACGCCCAGCTAATTTTTTGTATCTTTAGTAGAGACTGGGTTTCACCATGTTGACCAGCTGGTCTCAAACTCCTGACCTCGTGATCCGCCCACCTAGGCCTCCCAAAGTGCTGGGATTACGGGCATGAGCCACCGCGCCAGCCCAGAGGTCACTTTTAACCTCACTTTTCTTAACATTTCTCATCCTTTTTTCTTCCTACCCTCCTTTCCTTGGAGCAGGGCACCACCATACAGAATATAATAGTGTGATGAGCCATCTGGCAGATAGACCAGCAGTATAAGCCTTTACTAATTAAAAGAAAAGCAGGGGCTTTTATCTGATTGTGTTAGAAATTGTGTAAGTTTTCTTGGTTTGGTGGTGAGATGGGGTGGGGAAGGAGAAGGCGTTTTCAGATGCATTAGCTTTCAGTTGAACTGGATTCTGTTAAGCCATGTAGTCTAAAATGTTAGGGCTTTCAAGAATGGTTTTCTTGTGGACCATATTTTTAAGTGTTGAAACTTATATTTAA